TTTTTTTTCTAGAGTTCTCTATCCTTTCATCTCGTCAACCTCATGAAGGATAGTGCTGTTTTTATATCCAACTTACTTTACTAGGATGTTGAGGCCTATCTTCACAGGATTCGCTTCCATCTTTGCGAAAGTACCAATGATTAACTGACGTTGGCTGTCTGCAAGGCGATTGACTTGTTCCCTTGTCAACTTAGCTAGAATTATATATGAGTGACATTTTCTTAAGTTGCTGTTTTTTTCCAGAAACCAACATATTTCCTTGGTCTCTCCTTTTATTGACTCGGTTCGCTCCATGTGTGTCTTGGGATGCTTCGGGACTGGATATGGTTTAACCTTTACTTCTGCTTCCATGTTCATCACAAATACTCTAGATCTTTCGTGTGTGTTGCTATTTGACACTGATCGAGGTATCCTCCTGTCAGCTTCTAAGCGTTCCTCTTCTTCACGGCATAAACCATGGTAGATGCGGTACATACTATTGCCTGTAACTTTGATGACGTTAAGCAAGTTCGAGGGAGAGTCTGGAAAATATAGAATGTGCTGAAGCCTTCTATGTCTACGTATGAATAAATATATAATGAGAGAATACTCTTCATGGAGGAGATGGAGATGATGTGAAAATGGCAGCGCATCTAGCGAAGACGACGCATAGTCCGGAAGTTCTATACCACACCCCCTAATCGCATATTACTTTGGACATCCATGACTGGCGTATATGATCTTTGTCTTAGCATAACGAGACATTCCTTTCATCGTTGCATTTGATTTTATTTTGTGATTCAATTGATTGGACTGTTCAACTTTTGACTTCTGGTTCGTTAATCTGTTGAAGTTGTCAAGCATGGCTTGTAACTGAGAAAGGAAGGAGGTGAGGAGAAATGGAGGGAGAGGATGCGCTGTTAGAAAAAAAATCATTGGCTGGTGTCTTTTAGAACAATTTTTCATAGTATGTAAGGAAATGTTATTCAGTAGTGGCTGCCAAATATATTCTAGTAGTAAAAGATCTTCTCTCAAGTACGGGTGACTTTCAGTAGATCTAAAAAACGTAGGTAAATTTTTGTTTTTATTCAAATCCTTCTGCGTTTATAATATGTCTGTCGAAACCTTAGAAAACGATTCGTGATACTTAAGACACCCTATATGAGGTGACCTGGACCAGCTATATACGCGGACGGCGTCAAAGCAGTAAAAATTTCAATAAGATCTCCTTGAATCTTCGTTCTAATTGACGCTACAAATACAACTATTTTGTCTTTCAAATGTCACTAGATTTTCATCAGCAGTCCAAGCGTCAGCTTTTAGTGATCAAAAAATATTTCTGTTTTTGTTGTTAGCTAATTTTTCCAATGATAGAGTAACATTTGTGCATTATAAAAGTTGATAAACTTATCGTTCAAAACCTCGGAAACATTTGGGAAAGATCCTTTATGTTTTCTTTGTCCAACATAAGGATAGGTTGTATTCTGGATAAATGCATCGATGAAGTTAACAATTTTTCTGTGATAGTCCTTATCAATTATTAGCATTCTCTTGTTTAGTTCACTCTCTAAGTATTCAAGTTTAGATAACCAAATTGACGATAATGCCGAAACTTCTGCCAACGGGGGGTCAATCTCATTCGGTGAGTTTGCTAGTAAGAGTATTTTTCGTCTAGTTGTTTATCCTGTTCAGATAAAGATACCCACTTGAAAGACGAAAATGACTTGCTAAAGGACGCCTCATCATTACATGCGAAGATGCTCAAATTCAGCGCAGATCTTGACGGAATGATAGCACGGCGTTCGCAGATTGATGCGGAATGCAGCAGGATAGCGAAATCCTAACATTGTGCGCTTTCCTCTATTGCTTTCATTCTCTTTTGGGTCAGATTGTAACTCCGTACTTTGCCCTGTTGTTTATACAACTTTAATCTGTGTCCTTTCAAATGTGATTATAAACACAGTTTTCCACGACGATTCTCTGATTTGTGGGAACATCGTTTTTTTTTTGATTCTGCGCAACACCTTACATCGCGGTAGAGACATCAGTAATTTACCTCAATAAAGAACAAAAAAATTTGGAAAAATGTCCACCCTTCATCGGGATCTGCATCTCGGAAAATCAAACGCAATCTAACATTCCTATAGCATTGAAGATTAAGAAGGAAAGCAATAAAGCGGCGATTTGGGTGTATGGGTGAGCCAAGACGTTGGGGTAGTTGAGTTCAAGACGTTTTTGAACATATGAGTAGTCAGTTTTTTGTAAAGGGTACCATTTTGTTTGGCATATTAGGCGATTTGCAAGGAGGCATTCAAGTTGAAGCAACTATCATGAGTCACAGCGGTATGATTTTGAACTTGGGTTCATAATTCTGTTTTTGTCACCAACTCAGTCACTCCTATGGAAAGCAAACCTAACGTAAAAATCAGTAGCCTGTGCAGGGAAGGTAGTGTATTGTGGTTATCTTACTGAAAGCAAACAACGTGCGTTAGGTTGATCTGAGATCTGTGTGAGTTTTTGATGTCAGGGTGCTGTTGCTATGCGAGCCTTTTCAAAAGCGTTTCTTAGAAATGCTAAATTGTCTAAGCACCATGGCAGAAAAGTAAAGGTGTCATCGAATATTTTGGCATCAGGAATGTGATCATAGAAAGATATAACAAATAGAGACCACATAAAATTTCGAAATTTGCATTTTTGGAGTTTTTTTTCTTAGTGTCATTTTCAGCAGTAGCCCTTCACAAAGTACGATTGTCTACAAGGTATTGGGTAATTGGAGTTCGTACCGTTTTTGAACAATACATTCTATATCGTTTGAAAAAAAGAAGCTTCTCACAAAATATCGTAATCTTGGTTGTGCAGTAATTTCCTAAACTTGGAAGTTTAGAGGGCTAAGAACTCAACGTTAGCTTCATTTTTTTGGAATGCGTGAAAATTGTGGTACTACCGGTTGGTTAGTGGATATGCTGAGTACGTCCATATAATTTATATATCTTTATATAAATATTTGTAGTATATTCAGTAATATTGCGTCTTGAAAATACGTTTTCGAACAACAGCTACTTACTCTATTGTGAAAGAGGATTCGGCTTCTGAATGTTTCACAATACACTGCCAAAGGTATCGGCTTCTTAGAGCAGTTTTGAGTCAAAAAAAAAAACGGCACGAACTCATGTTTTTTTTTTGCT